CAATAATTCTACTCCATGGCATTTATTCTAGAGAAATGAAAATGTATGTAAACACACAAAAATATGTACTTGAATATTTATAGAAAGTTTATTCCTAATAGCCAAACCTTGAAACAATCAGGATGGTTAAATTAACTGTGATACATTAATACTATGGAAAAGTAGCAACAAAAAGGAATTAAGTATTGATACAGGCAACCATCTGGATGAATCTCCAGAGAATTGTACTGAGTGAAAAGCTAATCCTCAAAGGTCACATGCTATATCATGCCAGAAGTACTTGAGGGTCTTCTCTCAGTATGGCAGCCAGGGAGATTTTAGGCTTAACCTTGGGAACTATCTCCCACACAATAGATGGCCCAAGGCACATGTCCTTTATCTAGGACGATCTCTCACAGTAGCTCCAGAGATGGGCATAACCCATTGGGAACTGGACAACCTACCTATAACCTTTTTTGGTGAAGAACATTCTATGGAAGGCCTTTGATGTCCCCGATACCAATAAAGCAAGTGCAGGTTCCATTTGGCTTTTTTATTATAGAAGCTGAAGCTGGATCTGTGTGATTGGCTAGCCCATCCTGTCCCTATTTCCTGTGTCCTGTGGTTTTTTCGTTGTTGTATTTTTCTTAGCTTTGATTTCGCAGCCGGGCTGTTCCACCGACGGGAACCCCATTCCCATAGCCTGCGTGGGACATGGGTGAAAGTATCACATTTATAACTGATTCTTTTTTTTTTATTTATTTTTTTTTTAGTTTTCGGCGGACACAACATCTTTGTTTGTATGTGGTGCTGAGGATCGAACCCCATTCCCATAGCCTGCGTGGGACGTGGGTGAAAGTATCACATTTATAACTGATTCTTTTTTTTTTATTTATTTTTTTTTTAGTTTTCGGCGGACACAACATCTTTGTTTGTATGTGGTGCTGAGGATCGAACCCGGGCCGCACGCATGCCAGGCGAGCGCGCTACCGCTTGAGCCACATCCCCAGCCCCTATAACTGATTCTTAAATGTACAAATGAAGAACAGATTAGTGGTTGCTAGAGGTGAAGGAGGAGGATAGAGTAGGTGGGGAAGTGGGTGTGGTTATAAAAGGCCCACAGGAAATGTTTTGATTCATGAATGTATCAGTGTCCATACCCTGTCTGTGATATTGTATTATAGTTTTAGAAGATGTTACCATTGGGGAAAACTGGATAAAGAGTACAGAGAATCTCTGTAATTTCCTACAACTACATGTGAATCTACAATTATCTCAATATAAAAAGACTAATTTAAAAATCACTCCTCATGCCTGTGTTGTAGCCCATGCTGATTAAATTACCATATCTATGGGTGGGAGCCAGGCATCAGTATTTTTCCAAACCGGAAGCCAGTTGTGAGCAAATTTGGTAACCAATGAATTAGGCATCTCAAAAGCCTCTAAGAAGATCTTTAAAGAGGAGGGTGGAGAGAAGTTTCCCCAAAGTTCTATCTATAAACAGATTTTTGTAAAAGGGTACAACAAAGAAGCACTCTATCATGTATTCTGGTTATAAGCACAGTCAATATGAGGGAGAGGCCTTGGGCACTTTTTATTCATCTGGTAGGCTCCTAACCTTAAAAAGCTCCACTAGCTGAAAAGTAGCCTAAAAGCCAACATTATTAACCACTTCATTACTGGAATAATTTACCAAAAATGTTTTTAAAAGTCATTTCATAAATACTGAAATTTCTCCCTATTTGTCTCCATCCTAATTTTTTTTTTTTTTTAAGTCTTGGGGATTGAACTCATGGGTGCTTAACCACCGAAACCATATCCCCAGCCCTTTTTATTTTATTTTTTGAGACAGGGTCTCACCAAGTTGCTTAGGGCCTTGTTAATTGCTAAGGCTGGCCTCCTGCCTCAGCCTCCCCCAAGTTGCTGGTATTATTGACCTATGTTACCATACTCAGATTTAATACTCTTTATTTAAAGTCTAGTCGAGCTGAGTTATTCGACTGTTAGGTGTTCCTGAGTCTGCCTAATATATCATAGGAATGTTGCTCTGTTTTAAAAGTAACATTCCATTCACACCTGATGGTGTTGAAGATTTACTCTCCTTCCTTCCAAGAATTTTCTTAGAGATCCTACTTATACTTGTTAAAACAAGCAGCCTCTTAGGCCAAGCTGTAAACATAAAGAAGAGAAAAATTAAACTCATTAAACTTGTACCCAATTTGACCTTTACACTGAATCCTATTGTATCATTGAAAGGATTTTTAGAATGTTCCCTAATTGGATGTTTTCAAGTATTATCATGCTCTATATTTGGCTTAAGCCTTCTCTTGGGATTTTTCTTTTAAATTAAAAATATTGTTAAATGCATTAGTAGAGTAACACTATTGTAATGAGAAGTGGTAGTCTTATCAGATGATAATTGTTTTTCTGTTCTTATTGCCTTAAGGTTCCTTGCTCAAAGAGGCCTGAGGAAGACATCTGGATTAACCCTGTACATTAAGTCTTCTTCCTCACCACGCCCATTTTCTATTGGATTTTACACCCCAAAAATCACAAGTACAGTAGGAACTCTGGGCACTAACAGAATAGGAAAGATTGAACTATCTTTCTTATTTCTAAGAACTCTCTTTTAAGTAAGATCAAGTGTTGTTCATGTATGCTAGTTAATGCAGTAACTTTCATCTGCCATACAGAAGAGCAAAATTGTTGTTATTGTTAAGCAAAACAGAAGAGTAAAGAGTCATTTCATTTAAGACTGAGGCTCTTCTGAACTTACATATGCACAGACACATAGCGTTAAATTTAGTTATGACAACCAATGAAAAACAGGCTGCACACAAAAATTACCTTTCACCCCATGATGTAAAGTTTCCACTCAGCAACATCTGGAGGCTGCAAAGTCCAGATGATTTAAATAGACGACTCAGAGGCAGGAAACCATACTTAGCCGTGGTTCTTTGTGAATACAGCTTCTTGCTGAACCAATTCACTCTGCCTCTAATTCACGATTTTCCAGCCCCAAGAACCCTCATTTTGTTTTCACATGTCACGGGCCCTTTCCCCACCGTGAGCCTTGGCTCAAGCCATTCCTGTTGCCCAAAATGTGCTTCCCCTGGCTCCCTGCCCATTGGCTGCCTCTCAAACTTCAGGTTTCAATTAAAATAATATCACGTCCCATCCCTTTCCCTCTAGAGTTATTCTTTTGAGTTGGCACTCTGCTTATTTCCAAGTCCTTCTCCAGACTTGATATCTAATAGAAAAATATCTGTGGAATTAATAAGTGCTTCCTCCAAAAATTAATACATCAACAAAATGCTTTCTTTAGCTAGAAACAAAACAAAAAACCTCCCCAGATATCACACCATTCCCTAACTGAATTTTAATAGCAATATTTTTAGTTAAATGCACACATGTAATAAAAACAAAGAACATAATGATTAGCTCAGTCATTTGGGATCAGAGTCGGCCTTCTAACAGTAACCGAGAGGTAGCTCATGAAGAATTTTAAGCAAGTGCCACACTGAGCAACCTGTACATCAGAACTGACCATTCGATTTCATATGTGGTCCCTCTTCAGAAAGCCTATATGCATCTGTTATGCATCCTGTTCATCCAGTCAGTAGGCCTCTCTAATGCCTTATGAGTCTTGTCGACCTCTTCCACAAGCTATTAAGCTCCTGGAGAACAGGCACCAGTCTTTAAAAGAGTAATGGCAAATGCTATTGTGTATCTCCTGTGAGACAGTGGTAATGCTATGTGCTCTCCCGTAATGATAAATCTATGCAATTGAGCCATAGTTCAAACCCAGGCCAGAAGGACCCAGAATGACCACATGACCTCTACACACACTTTTCTTAATCCTGGGCCTGACACTTTACATATCCTCTGTCAAGTTGCCTCAATTTTCTCCTCTGTAATATGGGGAGGATGGTAGTGGCTACCTCAGAGGATAAAGCTTATGAAGTTGGACATAGGTCAAATGCTTAGAATGGTGCCTGGTACACAGTAGATATTACTGGTAGGAGATGTTGTCCTTATCATTGCTTATAGGAAAGCTCAGTGTCCCAGAAAACTCCTCAGTCCCATTTTAGCATGCACAGTCCTTGGCAAAAGTTCATCCTGGATCCAGATGACTGGTCTAGAACAGGGAGTCTGCCAGTGTTCTGGTGGTCACTATCCACTGCCCTGCATCTCCTTCAGAGCCTACCTCAAAAAATATCCCTCTCTCTCCTGTGATTGGCTTTTTGTTTTTTTTCTTCCTGACACAGTATTTCAGAAAATTGTACTCCTTAGTCCTCAGAGTGTAATCCAGAGATAGTGTATGGTTTTTGCACATTTTCCCACATAGGCCATCGCCCTGTTTCCGGCATTTACTAAGAGCAAACTATTTGATACATGATAATAATTCTTGAAGGGGTAAAGCGCCATGCCTACCGGAATGCAGCCCTAGTATCTAGTGCCCCCTGCTGCCTTTTCACAGGAAAGGCAAGCGAACGACCGAAGCGTCACTTACTCAATGTTTACTTGCCAAAACCGAATAGAAAGCTCTATAAATGTGCTAAACTTGAAGTTAGAATCATGTTTATCTTTTCTTGACTCACCCCTTGAATTTTAGATTTTTATTTTGCCTTTGTAAAAATTGTTTTTTTGCTTAATTATTCTTTTCTCACTTACATTTGATTTCCTTGATTTGTGGCTCTTTTGCTATTTTTCACTTTGGCAAGGCCCGGACTCCAGTGCGTGGCGGAGAGAGTAAGGGGTCTCTAGACCTTGGGCGGGGACAGGGGGGCCTCCTGCCCATCTCGGGGATCCTCCGCAGGGTCCAGGCTGGGCTGTGTATTAAGTAACCGGAGGACAAATCCACATGGAGAGTGCGTTGTTGCAGCCAATGAAACCCTGGTGCACCGCTGATTGTCAGGCAGAATTAACCAGTGAGAATGCGCTTTGGGTGACTTGAGCCCGGCCCCCGAATTCGGTCTTATAAAATAGATCGCTGCATCTCAAAACCGAGCTGGCCCGGGCCAGGCGCAGTGAGGAATCCGCTCCGCAGCGTACCCAGCCGCGAGAAGAGCCGCCCCGGTCACCTACTATGTCACAGGCAGATGAAAGCAAGCAGCAGGTGGAGCCAACAAGCGACAGCAAGCAGCCACATCAAGCCACCCCCGAAGGCAGTCCCCGGCCAGGACCAGGACACCCTGGACACGGACCAGAACGGCCGACCTGGCGGAAGGCGGCAGGAGCCCGGAGGACACGGGGCAGGTGCTGTGGAGTTGTGCAGTCCTGGAGTCACCCGGGAAAGAAGATGCGCTACTAGAGGAGCGTGTTTGCTAGCTCCGGGCCCACGTGGGCCCGGGTCTGGGTCCTGAAAGGCCCCCCTTCCTTTCCCTAGCCTTCCCTCCGTCCTCCCTTCTTTCCTTCCTGCTGGGTACCAAATCATTGTCAGACTGAGGTCTCCGCCCTGGGAAGGTAGAGTTCTTTGAATGCGATGTCTGGGCGCCAAGGAAGAAAGGGAAAGAAATGTGGCGAGGTGAGCCTTTTATAAGATGGATTTTAGACAAATTAATTTTCCAGTGTGAGCAGTGCCCAGGGATGATGCCAAGGCAGGGTAACGTTGCTTTCCCTCGCCAAAGCCTGGGGATGCTGTGGTCTTGTTCAGCTTTGCTTCTGTCAAGGAATTGAGATCTCAGGAAGACGGTAGTGCAGATCTGTGAACATCTTTGATGTAGAATGTATCACTTGGTGTAGACCTTGTTTTGGATAGTGGCTCTGCTTGTAATCCTTCCCTCTTCATAAACTCCATCTAATTTCTAAGCCCACTGCTTCCTTGTAAAACTTGTTCCCATGACTATTACACTACCATTTCAGAAAATTGTTCACTGATGAGCTCAACTGGGATACAAGCAGAAAGTACCCCCAAAAGACTATTTTGCCAAATTTGGAGAGATTGTTGACTATTGTAAAAATGGATTCCAACACTAGAAATCAAGAAGGCTGGGGCTAAAGATGAAGCCAGGGTGGAGAAGGTAAGTTGGGTACTCCATCAAGGGCCCTTGTATATGGGATATGATTCTAAGGGAACATTTCTGGATCATGTTTAGTTTGACTGAGCTACATGTGGCCAAGTACATGGAGGGGTGGGTGCAGAGTTCAAGCACTTGTTCCTGTACAGATTAAATGAGGGAGTGAGAGGTATATGGATTGGAGTGGCCCAGGAAGGAGATAGTTGACATTTAGTACCTATTTATGTCTCTATTTGGGGGGAATGTGCTAAATGCTTCACATATGAGGATTAGAAAAACATCCAAGGATGCTATGAGACAGACATTGAAGTGCTGTTTACAGAGGGGAAACAGATTCAGAGAAGAGTGTAAGTAACTATAAGAGATCACACAGAGAGTATGGGGTGGAACAACCAGAATGCCAACCCTAGTAGCCCAGATCCAGGCAACTGTTTTAATCTCTGCTGCTTCACTCCTGGAGGAAACAAGCCTTAGAACGGGACTTTCATGGCAGGAAGAAGGCTCACAGTTAACAAACTCCAAGGGAGTGAGTACAGATTTATGTGTGTTGGATAAACTGGATTTCAGGCTTAGAGAATATTGGGAGGACAGACTTGGGTAAAGTATGGTGTCTTTGGAAGGGATGAAATATTTTATGTACCTATGGTAGAATCTTGTGACTCAAAGTGAAGGTAGTAACTCCTGGGCAATGCTCCTAAGAAATGCCAATGAGAATTCGAATGAGAGTCTGCTGGTGTTAATGTTAGACATGCCAATGAGAATTAAAATCAGTTTCTCCTTTCTCAGAAGGACAACTGTGGTTTGTAGTTCATAATGGTTTTCCATCCATTATTGAATTACTCAGAGTAATGTGATTGAACATATTGTAACCATTAAAATTGACAGTCCATCTTTCACTTTGCTTGTGGATGAACTGCTGTGTTCTGATTTTTAAGAAATCATTATTGAACATTTGACCATGTTTTCTAAGAGATCAGATAATGAAGATGAAAAAATTATAATAACCAACACAAGTAGGACCCCCATCACAGAAATAGAAGGCTAAAAATCTGTGACATTTTAATAATAGATGGAAAGACACATTTGACTGTATTAGGGAGTTAATTAACCAAAACAGAGCATGCTGCATGTTATGCAGAAAATAATTTGGAATCAGGCATGGGGGAAGAAGGAGATGTGAAAGTTCATACCGAGATTGAATCTCACAAGTCAAGAATGAGAAAGGCAAATATTTCTAAGCCAATAAAAAGTACTTTTGTTTTCCAGAAAGATATCACAATGTTTAAAATTAACAGCTGCTGAATTAGCTTGGGCATATCACACAAACAGACATGCATAATTGTATTGCTCCTTGATGGCTCTAAAAAACTGGGTAAAGTTACATTTTCTGATTCAGAAGGGTTACAATTAAAAAATCCTGTGGGTGAACAATGGGAAATTTTGATAACAGATGTATTGGCCCCTTACTGTGTAGAGCTGATTTTGTCACACCTCACCACCAATCATACTTTCTACAGTGTATCCATTTTAAGTGATGCACTTATCTAGATCACATTGTTGGAATAATGAGGCATTCCAAGAGGGCTTTATTTATTTTTTAAAAACAATTGTGTATTTATTTTTGGGGTACTGGGGTTTAACCCAGGGATGATATATCACCTAGCTACACCTCTAACTTTTTTTTTTTCTTTTTTTTAATTTGAGACAGGGTCTTGCTAAGTTGCCAGGCTGGGCTCCCACCTGTGATCTTCCTGCCTCAGCCTCCGGAGTAGCTGGGATTACAGGAGAGGGCCAATGGGCCTGGGGAGGATTTTATTTTTATTCTGAAAAGAGAAAGTGTTGAAAGAGAAAGGGAGTCTGAGGAGTGGGGGAGATGTCTGAGATAAGGATGGGCATAGAAGGCAATGGAAAGGACAGCTGGGAGAACTCAAAGTCAAACTTGAGAATACCACTTCCTCCACACTTCAGTGTCTTGCCATCAACTCTCCCACGAATCTCCAGGGATCCTATTAACTCCCTAGGACCAACAGACTTCTCTTGAGTTAAATACCGTCGCATTACTTCCCTGAAATACTTTCACGTGCAAGGAATAGATTCAGTAAATTTCACAAGATTTAATATGTATATTAGCTTCCCTTCTTTCTTTCCTTCCTGAAATTTTGCTGTTATTCCAGCCCAACAGAATCCTAGAGCTGCTTGGGGTCCTAAAGGAAAAGCTTCTTCAAATCCCTTAAGGACTGTGGATAAGAGGGTTGGAGTTACTACATCCAGCCTAGAAGGCTAAATTGGAGTGAGACATGAGTGTTCACTGGGAAGCACAATTTCAAATGAATTTAAGGTTTATTCTTGGGAACGGATTATCGTGGACTAGAAAAGTTTTAAAGTGCTTTCCAGCTCTGGGATTCTTAATAGTCCTCCTAGATATTTAAACCCAGCCATTCCGGGCCTGAAGTGTAAAACCAGAATCTTGATCTCCCAAACACATTTTATGACCCCATAGATGATGTAATGAAATCAAATTTGGGTTCTGACTTTAGACATCATAATGACACCGCCTCTTGAACTTTAGCTTCTTCCACTGAAAATGGGGGCAATCTGCTAGTGCGTAAAACCCTTGGGTTTGCTAAAGGCCCCACAAATGCCCCATAAATGACCTTCTCTTTTAATATGTTTCACCTTCTGGGATCCTTGCTGCACCCAGACAAGCTCCCTGCGAGTGCCTGCCAGCCCCGCAGGAGACAGCATGCTTCAGCTGGAGATTCCTGGCCTGGGATGAAGCACCAAAGAGTAGCAAATAGGCGGGACCGGGCGCCTGGGGTGTAACCGGCGCTCCGGGGCTGGGCTGCACCGGGTTCAGGGGAGAGAGGGCGGGACGCAGCGCAGCGCGTGCGCGCAATAGGGAAGGCGGCGCCCGGAAGGAGCTGCTCCGCTCCGCGTGAAGGCAGTTCGCGGGTAGAAAGGTGCTGGTGTGGAGACCGCTTCCGGACTCCAGGTATGGCTCTTGCCAGCGTCCGGTCCCCTCCTTATCTCACGGGGAGGGTTCAGGCTGCAGCTCTACTGTGCATCCCACAGTCGAGATTTACCTGCCCTGGATTTTCTTGCAAAGGCACAGAAATAAAAGGTGCTGAGCGCTCCCCCACCTTTCCAATCCCTACAGCAAACAAGGATGCAGAGGGCCTGGGATGGGTTGGGGAGGGACTTTGGGAGGATTGTGCAAAGGGTGGAGTCTGCCCTCTCAGCTATGTTTTTTTTTTTTTTTTTTTTAACTGGGAATTTCCTGAATTTCTGCCTTCCTGCGGCCCTAAATCTTCCACCCATTCTGTCTTCTACCCTTCTGGAGCTGAGCTGTTGGTTAAGGTGGTGGGATGAATTCATGGACTATTGCAAAATCGCTTGATAGGATTTTAACCTTCTCAGCACCACCCAGATTTCACTCGAAAATGTCAAGTCCAAGGAGCACAAGGATAGGTAATTGTTATATCCTTAGCATGTGAGAAAGCTTTGTATATTAGTTTACAGAAGATCTCTTAGTTTTCCAAATTTTGGAGGACTTGGCGCTGGGAGCCAGGCATGGCCTTGTCACCTGGTTCTGTACGCAGTGCAGTAAACCATTTTGCTTCATTGCACCCAAGATGCTTTCTAGCTTTTTACAAGTCTTGAGGATCTACTTTAGGACAGGAGCATGTAAGGGTGTGATGGGCTGCCCTGCCCACACCTCATCTTTTTCAGGTTAACACAGCCTCTGGCTTTAATGTGTGCTTCTGGCCTGGCCACGTAGCCCTGCCGTGGCAGAGGAGCAAGAGGGGTGCTTATTGTTTGTACAGATTTTCTCTGTAATAACAACATTTCGCAGGATTAGGAATATTTATTTTGCCTCCTTAGAATAACAGTTCACTCAATTTGATTCTTGGCAATATAGCTAGAGGTGGGGATAGGGAACAGATGAACTACAGGTTATCCTCAGGTAGAAGCTGTTCATGTCTCATTCATTCATTCTTTACTTAGTACCTGCCTTGTGTAGGGCAGTGTGCTTGGTGCTGTTAGAACAAAAAAGTGAACCTGGGTTTGTCCTCAAGGAGAGAAGAGAATACTGGCTCCCAGAGCCTGGAAAGGGTGTGTGGGCTAGGGAGGGAGGGAATGGAAAGAGGAGAAAGGATCCCAACCTAAGGAATTCTATACCAGGTAAAAGGGAATGTGTCCCCAAGAGAGGGTCATAGGAACTCCTGGGGGATGGAGCCTTTCACTGCTGCTTGGCTTTAGGAGAAAAGTAAATCCTCCAATTACTACCTGATGATGAATGATCTCTCTCATGAGCTTCAGGTCTGAACTAAGGGTATTTTCCTGACTCAGACAGAATATAAAAGCAGGTCACATTATTCTTGGCTACCTCCCTCCTCCCCACCTCATATCTGCTGCCGCTCCAGCATTATCTGTCTCAGGGAATCATCAAGGCCCTCCACCCCTACTTCTCCTGATGGTTTAAGCCAGAGACCTAGAGGCTGAGTCATCCTGACTCATCCCTGCCTCTCCCTCCCCACACCCAGGCCTCTTGATGCTACCTCCTTCACCTGTCTTAAGTTCATCTGTCTCCCTCTACCTTTTTGTCATTTCTTTATGCCAGGTTACCATCGTCAACTAAGTTCTTGCTTAGTTTACTGCAACTATCTCCCAGCCTCACTTTAATTCATCTTTCACTATCGCAGCCAGGATGCTGTTGCTGGTGTTTAAATCTGGTTGTGAGGCTCACTTCATTAATCTCTCACTGGCCTTAGGACAGAAGCCATATTTCCTCTGCAGGGCTTACACCAGAGTCCTGTTTCTCACCAGGCCCTCTCTTTTCACAGCCCCTATGCACTTCCTTTTATTTTGAGATCTTTGTCATGCTTTCTTACATCAGGAAACTTTTGCACATTTTCCTTCTTCTGCCTGGATCATCTCTTTTCTCAGCTTCGTTCTGATCTCCCCAGGGTACCAGCGAATACCCTGCAACCTGTAGGCATCCTTCTGTAGGCCCCCACCCCGTGTCAGATGCCTGTCCTCTTAAGGATCACTTAGCATCTCCCTCCTTTTGCTGTGCTATACTGTGGGTTCTGAAGGACCAAGACCATGTCTTTAAGATAGGAGGCCAAGCAGGAGATTGATCCATAATTGAAAATTCTGAAGCACATCAGCTTTGTTTGCATGCTTAGCCAGCTAACTTAGTTCTCAGAGGTGGTGTTGCATAGTGGTTAGAAGTGAGACTTACTTGAATGTGAAATCTTGGCTCTGCTCTGTGACCTTCTGGGATTGCTTGCCTTTTCTGTGCCTCACTTAGTTTCCTCATCTGGAAAATGGGGATAATAATGTAACATTCAACCATAGGATTGTGGTGGTGATTACATGAGATGATACATCTGAGACCTCAGGATGGTGCAATTACATGGTAATCGCTCACAAACATTGTTAACCTCAGTATTATTATTACTAGTTTATCCATCATTCAGTCAACAAAGGGCCTTCCTACCTGTCACATCCTACTGCACCACTTCCTAGGCATAGATGAGGGTCTTTTGGTAGGTGTTGAGGGCTTTTTAGTGCCATCATTTGCTCCTGTGTCCCTCTGGCAGACCCTCCCTCATAGTAATTTTGATTGGCTCTTTGAGATAAGTGCAACAATTCTTTTTCTTTTTTTTTGTTATTTATGTATGATTAGCAGAACACATTACAATTCTTATTACACATATAGAGCACAATTTTTCTTATCTTTGGTTGTATCAAAGTATGTTCACACCAATTTGTGTCTTCATACATGTTCTTTGGATAATAATGATAATCACATTCCAACATCCTTGTTAATCCCCTGCCCCCTCCCTTCCTCTCCCACCCCTCTGCCCTATCTAGAGTTCCTCTATTCCTCTCATGCTCCCTCTCCCTATCCCATTATGAATCAGCCTCCTTATATCAAAGAAAACATTTGGCATTTGTTTTTTTGGGATCGGCTAACTTTACTTAGCATTATCTTCTTTAACTCCATCCATTTACCTGCAAGTGCCATGATTTTATTCTCTTTTATTGCTGAGTAATATTCTATTGTGTATATATGCCACATTTTTTTTTATCCATTCACCTATTAAAGGGCATCTAGGTTGGTTCCACAGTTTAGCTATTATGAATTGTGCTGCTAGAAACATTGATGTGGCTGTGTCCCTGTAGTATGCTGTATTTAAGTTCTTTGGATATAGACCAAGGAGAAGGATATCTGGGTCAAATGGTGGTTCCATTCCCAGTTTTCCAAGGAATCTGCAAACTGCTTTCCATATTGGCTGCAGTCCTACCAGCAATGTATGAGTGTGCCTTTTCCCTACATCCTCACCAACACTTATTGTTGTTTGTCTTCATAATAGCTGCCATTCTGACTGGAGTGAGACGGAATCTTAGAGTAGTTTTGATTTGCATTTCTCTAATTGCTAGAGATGATGAATATTTTTTCATATATTCATTAATTGATTGTGTATCATATTCTAAGAAGTGCAACACTTCTTTTCCGTTCTTCTGAGTCAGTTTATTGTCAGTATAGGGAATAAAAGATTGGTTAACCTAAATGATGAGCAGTGAGAAAATTGAAAAATATATATAAGAAATCCCATATATCATTCTCCTGTTTACAAAGGTAACTATTTTCCCTGTGGAAGAAATGTAGATATAAGAAAGTTGAGATATAAAAGCGCCACCAGGATTCTTAGAATTCATAAAGCAGAAGAACTTCAGAGCTCCTCTCGTTTGTTTCTCTCACTGGGAGGACTTGGAAGAAGGAAAGAGCATGGTTTTAGGACTGACCGCCAGCAAGTGACCAGAACCACATCTCTAGCCTGTGGCCAGCGCACTTTCTACTACATCTTAAAGAATACAGAAGCTAGGCACCAGTGTGCGTACCTGTATTCCCAGCAACTTGGGAGACTGAGGCAGGAGGATCACAAGTTTGGGGCCAGCCTCAGCAACTTAGTGAGGCCCTAAGCAAATTAGGGAGATCCTTTCTCAAAAAATAAAAAAGGAGCTGAGGATGGGACTCAGTGGTTAAGCACCCTTGGGGTTCAATTCCCATTACCAAAAAAAAAAAAAAAAAAAAAAATAGGACAGTGTCCACAGGGATCTTCTCACCTTCTCACCCCGAGATATGCTTTGACCGCTGCTGTGATGCAGGATAAGATGTCATTATCATGCAGTTAACTTTGTGCCAGCCTTCACTTTCATTTATATTTTTTACTGATTTGTCATCACTCTAATGTGGATGTCTCTGCCTCCCCAGAACTGTCTAGTGACAGAGCATATGTTTAAAGTGAAACTCTGGTTCAGTCTCCAAGCAAACACCCAGGAGCTATGCATGGATGTCTTCCTTTTCTGTTCTGCAGTATGGGGAGCATGGAAGGATGAATGTCTGCAAAATATGAAAGAATTATATGATGGAGTTTCAGAAGTCATTTAGAGGAAGAAGAAGCTAGAGTGATTAAGGGGATCTGGGTTAGTTAAGGGCAGAGGTCGAGGAGAAGGTGCAGAGGCTAGTTGGGGTCCTGTAGGTGGAGGAGAGGGAGAATGTTATAGAAATGGAAGTAGGAAGTATAGATTGTAGTGTTTCCATCCAGTGAGGAGACCCAGCTGGCAGAGCACAAGCCTTATTTGAGAAGTAGAAGGACCTAAATAGCTGAGGGTGCAGCTTGAAGACAGAAAGAGGAGAGTTAACCTGAGGTGCTCCCCTCCCCCCCGCCATGCCCGAGAATGAGGATAGCAAGACAGTGGTGTTGGGAGTGGCCTTGACCCTTTCTTTAGAGCACTATAGAAATTAATTTTTATGATTCTGTGGGATGCCTTTCAGTTTACTATGTATTTGTTCCCCCAGACTCTTTATTTTGAATCATTTGTTCCTTCCTCCTTGCTTTAGAATTGAGGCCTCACCAATGGACCTGATTGGTTTTGGTTATGCAGCCCTTGTGACGTTTGGAAGCATTTTAGGATATAAGCGGAGAGGTAAGCCAAAACACAAAATTTTCATCAAAGGAACTTACTGGGGAGTTGCTGAATGTGCTAGGATCATCTGAGGGTCTGTAAGTAGGACAAGAAGTTAATGATATCTTAGAAGGAGGTGAGGACCAGCATATCATGGAAGGGATTCATGGAGGGAAGGGGTTACATGGGACTGAGCATGACAGAGCATTCCAACGTGGGGCTTCTCCAGCATAAAAGTCTAATTTCACCTGCCATTATGAATTGCATAGTTAATTGATTTAACCTTCCCCAGAGCTCGCTTATTATTAAATAAAGCTTTTTGTGTTTTACATAATTATGTTAAAAACTGAGCTTTATTGGTATGTGTTGCAAAGGAAGAGATTTGTTAAATACCAAGGTAAAATACCCAAAGCTACCTCTTCATCTGTATCTAAAAGAGGGAGAAGAGCCTAGTTGATTACTTAAAGGGTTTTTATGGAGAAAAGTAAAAGGTCAAGATTTTATGCTTTACTTTGTTCTAAGTAGATGCATGTGTAGTCATGGTGTCTCATGTTTGTTTCTTCTATTTTAATGAGCTTTTAAAAGTAAAGCGGTATTTCAAAGGGCATTACACCTGTGACAAGGGTAAATTTGAATTTGAGTGAAAAAGCCAGGTGTACACAGTTAGAAGTTAGGAACTTCCTTAGAGTTATCTCAGAAGCCACAGGCAGAAGAACAGTTCTGTCTCATAGCAAAACAACTGGCAGATTAGAATAGATTCCCTTCTAAGATTCCTTACAGATTGTAGTTCACCTTACATTTTTGTTTGTTGTTTTTCTCTGAATATGTGTATTGTAGATATTTTTTGAAGGACAAACAATGATGCCACCAAAGTGATACCTGCAAATAATTTCTCAAGGGCTGATGCTTTATGATCTACTTCAAAGAGGACTCAGCGTAAAACCCTGATAGGATTGTTACTGAAGAAACAATTTTTCTTGTCAAAGACATATCTAAAAACTTCTATTTATATAACAGAAAAGAACACCTAAACATTATTTATTTATTTATGCTACCAGCGATTGAACCCAGGGGCACTTAACCACTCATCCTCCCAAGTCACTGGGATTAGAGGTGTGCACTGCTGTGCTAGGCTTAAATGTTTTTGCTTGCCTTTTTTAGGGATGTAAAGAATTCTGTGTGTGTGTGTGTGTGTATGCATGTGCACACTCATGCACAAGCACGTATGCTTATGTTTGCATTTCCTGCAGTGGTTCTTATGCCTGGCTACATATCTGAATTCCCTGTGAATATTTGAAAAATAGAAATACCTCAGTCTTACCCTCATGGATTCTAATCCAGTAGATTCTAAATGAAAACAAGTTCTGTAAAGCAAGGACTGTGTGTGCTTTGATCACAGTGTCACCCTTGATCACAGGGTCACCAGCATAAAACTCCCCGTCTAGTGCACAGAAGTGCTCAGTGTTTATCATGGTGTCCTGGGCTGGGTGGCTGGGCTGGGGACTGGCTTGCTGGGTTAGTGCCCTGCATCTTCGACTTTCTTGGTGTAGTCTCCTCTGGCGCCTTAGGGCTTGATGATTTGTTAATTATTCAGGAAAAAAAAACATTGCTTGGTTTGCACAGACCTTCTGTCTTTACCTTTGTGAGCTAAAAAATACCTTTGGACCTCATTTTCCATCATCACAACTTTATAGTAAAAATGGTGGATCCAAGGGGAAAAGCGGGGAGGGAAGAGTTCCTAAAAGTGAACTGATTGCCCAAGATCATACAATCAAGTCAGCACAACTACTACAATGCAAGCTTTCTTTATTCCTCCCAGTGACACCTGACCCCTGCATTGCCCTGTGTTCAGAGTTCCTCTGCCTTATGTTTTGGGGTTCAACATCAAACAGTTGTTTCTTAGAAACCATCCCTGAAGAGATCCGTACTTAATTTGGCTCTGTCAAGATGCTCTAGTAGGAATATGTTCGAAGGTGCCTGTGTTGCACTTGAAATGATGAATGAATTCCTTTCACTTTGAGATTCTCTTTGTGAGTCCATACTTTTCTCACCAGGTGGTGTTCCATCTTTGATTGCTGGTCTTTTTATTGGATTTTTGGCGGGCTATGGAGCTTACCGTGTCTCCATGGACAAACGAGATGTTAAAATATCACTATGTAAGTAAAGCACTCCCCCCCCCCCCCGCCCCCGCCCCCAGTTACAGACCTTGAGACCTTGGAGCGGCCTTCTTGATACCCTGTACTAGGTTGACTAGAAAATATGTTGTCAAATGTTGAGTGGCCATGCACTTGGGTGGAGACTGAACACAACCCTTGTTCCTTTCTAGACAGACCTGATAAAAAATGGTACTGCCACAATGCCTTCCAACTCAAATTTCTCTAAAACTTGTTATAAGAAAAATGAAATTAGAAAAAGCAAGGAACCATTCCTAGATTTTCTGCTAATTCTCCTATGTACATATTAAGCATGGTTGTTATGTTGCTGTGAAAATATCTAAAAAGAGACAACCTATTTTATTTAATCTACAAACAGCTTTTAGATTCTGATCTGCCTTGAGAAAGCAAGACTGACCCCTTCTTACCTTCTTCCTTTGTGGGCTTTAGTGAGAGAATGTCCACAGAAAAAAATGGAAACCTATATGTTTAAGCCCTCAGAGTACTTGGCTTTCTTTTGTCTAGCTGGAAAGAGAAATACAGCAAAGGTTTAGAAAACTACACCAAGAAAATTGTCTTTATTTGATTTATTCAAAATGCCATGGTGAGATATGGAGGAAAATATAAATAAAAACAAAATTTTATTTTGTTTATATTTGAGGAAGAGAAAGAGATTAGGTGTGTTTTTCTTCCCTTATTTTAAATACAAGAGTAGGGATATTTCTAATAATGAAGATTGTTTCAGAGCTAAACCTATTCAGCAGGGTATAGATATGTTGAGCCTTTTATTCATATATACTTAAGTAGGGTTTTAGTCAGCTTTTTCACTGCTGTGACTAAAAGACCAAACCAGTAAAATTGTATGGGAGGAAAAGTTTGTTAGATGGCTCACAGTTTCAGAGGTCTTAGTCCATAGAAGGTTGGTTCCATTTTGGGGGGCTTGAGGTTAAGCAGGATATCATGACAGAAGAGTGTGGCAGAGGGAGGCAGCTTGTATGATGATCAAGAAGCAGAAAAAGAGAGACTCCACTTGCCAGATACAAATATAAACCCCAAAGTCACGCCCCAATTTCCTGAGACCACGCGTTACCCCTTCAGTTACCACTCAGTTAATCCCTATTAGGGAATTAAATTACTGATTGGGTTAAGAGACTCACAATTCAGTCGTTTCTCCTCTGAGCATTTGGGGGATACCTCACATCCAAACCATAACAAATAGTTCCCATGTTTGTTGTCAATCATATTTTATATCAATATGTATTTTATATGAATACATATTTCAATTTTATGTCAACAGCTTTGAAACTGTTCTTAAGTTGTAATAGTGACACCCTGAAGTCTTACACAGAAACATCCTTCTCTCCTTTGGGTTCAGCTCCTGACCTGATGCTTCTGAATATAAGGTTGTTATTTAGTCTCCAGGCATTTAATCTCCCAAAATGGAATGCTATCAAGAAAACAGTTTGCCTTCCAGTATTAGTTTATAATCAGATCTTTTAAAAGAAACACTTGTATTATTTTCCTTACTAAATTAACCAGCATTTATTGACTGGCTCCCTGTGGGAACCTTGTGTAGTTCTTGCCTTTGAGGAGTGTCCTGTGAAGAGAAATTTAGGTAGAAAAAGAATCTTTGGAAGATATTTCAGGAATGGACCTCAATATGTTTGTTTACTCAAAAATTTTGATAGGCTGTTTAATAAAGCATTTTAATAGAGCCCTTTATTTTTTCAAGAAATAGCAACTCAGTGCCTGTACATAATAGTTGTCGTATGGAAAGCTTTGAAACAGTATCCTATTTTTCTATTTATTTATTTATTTATTTATTTATTTTTCTGCAAGCAAGCACTGATAACATGTTTGATACTCTGGTTCATGAATTGATTTTGGTTTTCAGTTACAGCTTTCTTCCTGGCCACAATAATGGGTGTGAGATTTAAGCGTTCTAAGAAAATAATGCCTGCTGGGCTGGTTGCAGGTTTAAGGTAAGAACTATTGTGATTTTTACTTTCCTCTGCCATCATTTTGAAGGGCTGATTTTTGTTCAAAAGTCAATTTTAATTTGAAAGGTGAAAATAGTTTCTATTATAATAAGCATGATTGTAAAAACCTTAAACCATAGTGGATTCAGTCTTTGGCACTGATGTGTTCATAGTCATTCTTCCCAGAAACAATTAGTGTCACTATTATCTGATCACATGGACACAGTTACCTTTTTCATAATTCAGAGCTAAATTCAGCCTTGTTTCCCCACAAGATTCATCAACCTAAAGCAGTAAATTTCTTCATTTACGTCTCTAAAGAGAGTTGGACAGTGATAGTCTCATGCAATTATTTTGAATTTTTGAAGGGAGATAAATTTTAGTATTCTTTAAAAAGGTAGGTAGGGGGTCTCCAATTTTTGTCAATTTGATCTGGTAATTTTGTCCAAGAGATTAAGCATGTTACCAAATAAAAATTTAGAGATAACATGTTTTTTCATTCTTCCTAGCTGACTTTTAAGTGTTAAAATCCATCAGTAAGTCAGCTCCCTTTGACATGTATTTTCACTGTTTGGAATTTATTTAAAAGAAGTGAGATGTACACAAAGATTGACTATTCATTGAGACTTTATTTCGAATGGAAAACATGTTAAACTGAAAAATTAGGAACTGCCTAGAAATTCACCAGAAAGGAAATATTCCAATAAATACTTTGCCCACTTAATGGAATATTGAGTAGGCATTTGTACATCATGTTTTCAAAACCTGTTTAATGGCATTAGAAAATCTTGATGACATAATAAGGTATAAAAATAAAATCAAAATCCACGGAGCACAATGCAAACCTATTGTTTTAAAATGTCTGTATGTAAACAAAGAAGATAAGAAGGAAACACCTCAGACTGTTAATAGTGTTTTTTCTGTGGGTAATAATAGCATAATGAATAATTTCCATGTTCTTTTTTTTCCACTTTCATATAGAATTTTCTAGTGTAGCTAGATGATATGTTTCTAAGGAGGGGGAAAATTTGATTACAAAGGACTGCTTTCCAGTTATAATCCTGTTCTAAAAAGGATGCTCTGTGTTAGAATCAGAAGTAGGGTTTGCTGTCAAGAGGACAAGACCCAGTTAATGGCCATCTCCTTGATTATTTTTCTAAGTGGCTTTACTTGACTAGCTGTTGAAAGTTTTTGTTTTTTCCTAGACCTTTCTTTCATGAACCCTCATCCCAAGCTTTGGAACAGCAAGTTCTTATTTTTTTCATTCATTCAGTGAACATTTTTATTTCCTGTCTGAGAAGTTAGAACACAGAGATGATGTGTTCTCCCTGTTCCAAGGAGTGGAGCTGGGAGAGAGTCCTGGAAGCCAAGGCTTAGTAACATGCCTGCATATAGTGTGTGATCCTTTCTATCTTATGCCAGGTAAGAATGACCTCCCTTTGCCTCTATCTTATTTTAATTCAGCCTCATGATGATCCTGAGACTTGTCTTACTGTTGCTGTGAGCATCCAGAAGAACCGAAAACTAAATTCCTGTCATTCTACTGTAATGGGCAGAGTATTCTTTGTACTTAAAAGATAAATTTCAATATAGAATGTCAAGTCTCTTATTTTATGTCAGAAGCAAAAGTAATACTGTCTCCTCTAAGATGAATAAAAGTTTAAGGTAGTTTTTTTTTTTAAAAAAAAAACAGCAAAAATTTAAACTGTTTCTATTTGTTAAGCACTGTTTTCATTAAAGGTGTTTAATGAATCCCGATAAGCTCTTTCACTTGCTGTGGCTATTTTTATATTTGTAATATTGTTTTTGACAGTTCCAAATACTGATGACTCAAGTTTAAATTAAACTACAACTTATCCAATAAAGGAATTTCCTAAGTAGACTTCACAAAATACTAACTTAGATGTTTGTTACTTGTGCTATATCAGAAATTTTATTTTTTTTCCATTTTAATTGCATTTAATTTCTGCCAGTGTTATTTTTTTCCTTTAAAAGAATTCCGTTCTGGATATACTCTAACAGAATATATCAGTATTCAAATAAAAAAATAAAAATGTCTTAAAAAGTTTTGTTGTTGTATTTTTTTCCCCCTCAAATCACCACTTCAAATTTGGGCATAGTTATAACTTCTAATGTCCAAGGCACCTGCCGCTGACTATTGTGTTCTTGGGAGGTTACTCCCTGTCTCTGGACTCAATTCCACTTCCTCAAGGAAGACTTTAACTTAATGGTCAACAAAACCCCTCAGAAGTCTAAAAGCCTGTGATTTTAGTCCTATTGGTTTCCATACCCTTTGTTTAAGTGAGGGAGTGCAGAGTCTTCAGCCCATAGCAGCAGAATAGATCTGGTTTGTTAGGTTGGTTTCATTTGCCAGCTGATAGTGACAAGGAATTCAATTAAGAGGAAAAAAAACCCAAACCATTGGTTGAACCCCAAAGGAAACTTAAACAAAGTCCTTGATATACTTTAAAAAAGAAAAATCCCATCAATCCTAAGGATGCCAAAGAGATTGTTAACCACAAGCAAGGCTGGAACATACTGTCATAACTGAGCTACTCTCCTTATTTGTCACCTGTCAAAGATGAAGGGAAAAGCCTGCAGGTTCAGACTGACAACAGCTTCTACTCAGCCTTTGATTATGACAGTGATATAGAAATTGATCATAGAAATATATGCAATACCTGTGACATACTCAAGTGACAAAGTTTTAGGAACTAATTGAAGCTGTACAGAGTCCTGGACTGTTTCCAAAAGATGGTAGAAGTGAATGATGGTGATACATGCCCTTCTTGTCATTCGGTTTTTGGTTTTTAAAGAAATCCTTGATATCTGTTTGCTTACTTATGATTTCACTCTTTGCACATGAAAAATCCAGAAGAATTCTTTATCATTTTTTTAAAAGAATTCATATTTGGATCATTCTAAGTGGTGTCAGAATATTTAGGAAAAATAGAAAAGGAGTTTTCTAATTTGCAGGCAAGTTTTAGGGACTTTATTTCCTTATGCATTTATTACTTTTGTTTCTTTATTAACATATCTTTAGGATATTTTACTGGGCCTTTCTATAAATGAAGTGTGCAGTATGTCCTGAACCTCTTGAATTCAACCTCTTGAATTGTTAATACTCAGCTTCTATAGTGCTCATGTTTTTGAGAAACATGCCATTTTCAAATTTGAATATTTTCTTCACTTTCTTAATGGATTCTTCATCCATTGGAGGCTTTCTCTGGCTTCCAGGCTGGAGAAATTTGTAAATTGTGGGGATGTGGCTGATTCTGACCTTGAATTCCTAAAATGTAAAATGTCAAAATTCATGAGAGAAGAATATAGTACAATAAACAAAGTAAAATTCTGCTGACTTGTAAGGAGAAGTCCTCAGGTTTCCTATGCCATAAACATTTTTCATGTTCTTACATGATTTTTGAAAACATCATTTTAAGTAGCTGCACAAAATTCTATCCAGCTGATGTATCTCATTTATGTAGATATTTTTTCAGGTATTGGACATTTAAGTTGTTTGTGATTTTCATTAAGCACAATAAATGGAATATTATGTATTGGAAATTTCAAAAAACATTCAACAGATAACATTGTGTACAAGTGAGGTAGACTAAATAACAATAGTAAAACATGGTTATAAAGTAATATGAAGTGGAAAATTGAGGCTGCAGAATTGTCATTAACTCATGTTACAAATATTTTAATTTTTGTGTGTGTGAATTTGGTGCTAGGGATTGAACCCAGCCAGAGCCTTGCATATGCTAGATAAGCACTCTACCCACTGAGCTACATCCCCAGCCCTCATGTTACCTAGCAATGTTTGAAATATTTTAAAGATTATAAAGGAAGCCTCTAATGTGGCAAAATCTTTTAGAACTTGGGTCATGGAATCAGACAGACTGAGGTTTGAGTATGAGTCCCAACACCCAAGTTATTTATGTGCAAGTATGTGCAAGTTATTTAACCTCTGAGTCTCATTTCCTGTCTATCTTGAGGATGGAATAAAATAACTGAGGTAGGGCTGGGGATGTGGCTCAAGTGGTAACGTACTCGCTGGCATGTGAGGGGCGCTGGGTTCGATCCTCAGCACCACATAAAAATAAAAAAAATAAAAAAAAGATGTTGTGTCCACCGAAAACTGAAAAATAAACATTAAAAATTTCTCTCTCTTTAAAAAAAATAAATAAATAAAATAACTGAGGTAAAGTGGATTTGATTTTTGGTTCAATGCATGACATGAAGAAGCTTCACCAATGGTTATGTGGTTGTTGTTGAGTAATGTCTGGGATTGAACTCAGGGGCACTCGATCACTGAGCTACATCCCCAGCCCAATTTTGTATTTTATTAGAGACAGGGTCTCACTGAGTTGCTTAGCACCTCGCTTTTTACTGAGGCTGGCTTTGAACTTGTGATCCTCTTGCCTCAGCCTCCCTAGCTGCTGGGATTATAGGCATGCACCACTGCACCCAGCTGTGATATTATCTTAAGTTTTTCTTCTTACTTCATCTAGAAAATTAAGCAACTTTTACTGAGGTTTTACTCTGAGGCTTCAGCCCTGCAAGAAGCCTGCCTCAGGTCTCTGTGCTGGTGCAAGTGACCCTCATCTGCTTTCCCATGTTTTATTTTTTAATTTATCACATTGTATAGAAGATACCTGTCTATGTGTCTGTCTCCCTGACTAGGTATGTTTCTGGAGGGCATCTTTATATTTCTAGTATAGGCCTTGGCATAAAGAAGTTAGAACGTTCTTGAGTGAATGACAATAAAAGAAGAAAGAAATGATGCATATTCATTCTCTCTGAAGTTCTTGGGGACTCTGGATAGCATTACCTGTAGCAGAGGGAAGCCTGAGAGGACACTGGGTTTGCACTCTTCAGCCATTAAGATGACTTCAAGGAGCTGTATATCAGCCCAGCTCAGCTGACTGCCCACAAGGAAATCTTTCCCAGGGTCTCTTAGTGCCTGCATGATAGTTGAGAAGAAGGTAATGGACTAAGGGCATACCTCACATGTAAAACTGTGATCTAGTCTTCTAGAAAAGTCTTGTAGAAAGTGTTCTAGAAGCTAAGAGACCTGGTTTCTAATCTGTTCTCTGCCCCCTGGGTAGTGGTATGAGCTTGAGCCAACCCCATCTCTTGGAGCTTCAGTTCACCTGAAAGAGGTGGAGCAACTCCAATCCCCCTGACCTGACCACAGGAAACAGCTTGATCCCGTGAGCTTTGTCGTCTTTTATCTCCCTCTACCTACCCTGTGAACCTCTATGAATGGTTTTAGTGCAGCACCTGGCTTGGTGGCTTTTCCAGGTCTGTGTTTGCCCTGCCTCTGAGCAGGTTCCTTAGTTATGCTGCTTCTGGAGGGGACTTTGTTTTCAGGGAGTTTTTACAAGTCTCATTTTTACAAGTGAGTTTTCTTATAATAGGGCTGTAATTTATGAGTCATTTTGAGTTAAAATTGATTGAATACAAAATGAAAGATTAGATAGTAAAGTATATGCTAGCTCTCCAACTTTATGATCTTATGGTGCATGGACATGTGATCAGAATTTAGAGACTTGAGTGCAAGTGTCAGCTTTATTAGTTGAATGTATGACATTGGGCAAGTTATTTTCAGCTGTTGTTGCCTCATCTGTAAATGGGACAATCATTGCACCTCTTTCATGGACTTACTAAGATTAAAAGGGCAAAATATGCCAAATACACAGCACAGTGCTTATCATTCTGTGGAGGTGACAATGACATCGTCATGATTAGTACTGTAGTTAGTGATACTATCATTGTCACTATCTTCAGCCATGAGAGAAACGTCTATACTTTATGATACTGTATGACAAAAACTGCAGTCATTAGGAAGAATGATGTCAGACATCCCTTCCATTGCCAATATTTATAAAATTATAGGATAAAAATCTCTTAAATTATGTGCCGATTACAAATTAGTATATTGTCTTACATATTTCTGAAGGAAATGATATAGAGAAAGTGCAAGGTGTAGAATATTTACAGTTTGATCCAACTTGGAACAAAGAGACTGAAAATTCACTGAATGTGATCAAGAGAAAAAAAAGTGTAGTTTGGGAAGTTAGGCTACCTGTAATCTATGCTAAATACCTAAGTATTAATTAAATAATCTGATTACATGATTTGATGGTGATAAATAGATTTAAATATATGTACTAAGTCATTCTTTTAGAACTATTGTTCCTGAGCCCAGAAAGGGTGGACTAAACCAGCATTGGCAGTAGATTTGGAAAACTCATCTGGATCATTAATTTTTTTTACCGAAACCCTGACATTTTTAATGATTCTTTCCTACACTTACTAATATTATAATGAATGTTCCTAGAGGTAAGAGCATAGATAGCTAAAGAAGGTCCCAACCCTGGTGTTAGCAATGCAGTCTAGATGTTTGCTTAAGGCACAAGCTTTTCAGACATAATTTTATAAACGCTAAAAGTTTAGAAGACACAAGAAACAAAGGGTTATTTTGAAAACAATTTTTTAAAGTTTTAGTCTGTTGCATAGGATTCTGCTAACCTGATAAACTTCCCTGAACCCTAATACTAGCCAGTGCATTTTAGAAATAATACTATCCTCCCCAACAACTCTTTAATTAGTGTGGGACTCTGATTTCCACCCCAAGTCCTGCTTTAAAGCTTTATTTTACTCTAGAATTATATCAGGTAACTGAAATTCTGTCAGCACCCAGAACTACAAATGATTCTGAACTTATGCATGAAATCCTTTAAAAAAATAAAATAAAATTCAGAACCTAGTGGGAGGAAGGTAGATTTGTTTTATAACTGCAAGTGAGGGAAGAATTTTGAGTTTTTACAGAGGTTTTGGCCATCCTTCATCCACCACTAAAATTCTTTATCTACATTTAGTTTAGTTCATTTTTCTTCTTGATCCAAGTCATCAAGCAAAACATAAGTCTGTCACATACCTTCTCATAGACAGGGAAGAATCTCGTAATGGCTCGCTGGAGAATATACTCAAGATTCATTTCCTTCTCTTCAGGCAGAGATAGTGGAAAGTACATAATCATGTCACTCAGGTCCCTCAAGCCTTCTACATACATGTCAATCCTACAGGAAGGGTGATAGTTCCAAAAATGATTTAATATATGCATTTAAATATATGTATCATGGCTGAATCATATAATACAAATTATTTAATTAACACTTAGTTATTTAGCATAGGTCATAGGTACCCTAACTTTCCAGGTCGTGTTTTTCCAGAAGAAGGGAATATCATGTTATGGACCAAAGAAACATTTAAAGTAGTGCCTCAGTTTCATCTTCCTACCAGGGGTCCTCCTGGAATATTGTTTTGTGAGCTAACAATAATAATGGAATGCTGTTCCTTTGGGATATTAAGAAAGATCAATCTGGGAGATAGGAATAATTATAGAACTCAAATATCTAGGCAGGTGTGTGTGTGTGTGTGTGTGTGTGTGTGTGTGTGACATCAATTATGTAACACCAATGTTAATCTCTCACACACATAGACATACTCACACAAAGCATTAAAAGGATGCCATAATAATAAACTGGACAAGATTGTATTTGGCTGTTTGAATGTAATAATAGTGTGATCACCATGTTAGTACATGTGATACATATGGAGGAAGAGGTAACTACAGACCTCTGTCCGGCCCCAAACCTCTCCATCTGGATCAAAAGTTCTCAAACACAGACAGTAGAGCAATTTAACAGAGCACAAAACTTGCTCTGCAAGTTCCCACTTGCCTCCACCTTCATTTCCATGCCTGAATGGAAGGAAAGATGGCCTTATGTCTGTCAAGGACCAAGGCATAGTGAGAATACTCCTGGTGTGGGTATTGGAAAAATCTCTGTCCAAGGGGAGTTTCCTAATCTTTGTGAAACATGGGCCTTTTAGCTTTAATCCAGAATAGTAATGTGTGTCTTGAAAATGGTCTCAAATTCTTTGCTCCTCCTGCCATTGAATTAAGTCTCATTCTCCCCTTGGATATGAATGGGCCTTGGGAACTTTCTAGACCCAGTGTAGGGAAGTAATGTTCTTGGATTTCCATGGGTAGGCCATAAGAATCCTTCCAAATCCCACCTGGTTCTCTTTATCATTTGCTCTAAGGGCAGCCAGCCTCTATTTAAGAAGTCTAACCACTCTGAGAACCTCCTGCTGTACACTCAAGCTGGCCACATGGAGAAGGTATGTGGGGAGAGAGAAAAATGCCTGACGATGTCCACATGTTCCAGGTCTCCCAACCCAGGTGCCAGACATGAGTGAAGTGCTGCATGAGAGACTCATCTGAGCCCTGTCAGCTCGGAACTGTGAGAAAATATGTGGCAGCAATGGATCACTATTAGAGAACCATTAAGCATTAGAGTTGTTGTGGGACTGTGTAGTTGGTTAAAGGAGTTTTAAAATATAAACACATATGAGACTTTATCATAGTGACAAACCAATGAAAGTATATATAAGTAAATCATTGATTCATTTTCAATTTACAAACATTAGTTTTAGAAATTAACTACTTTAAAACTATTTTACATTAAAAAGAACCACAGCTCCTTAGAGAAATGACTGAGTCCAGGCCTGAAGCAAGAGATAAATAGGATTGATCTGGATCAACACATTATACCAGAGAATAAATAAGTTATCAGAGCCACTAGAGTAAGGTTAAAAAGAATTCCAGGAGCCACTTGGTTCCCATTGACCAAAGGCAGAACAATTTGAGCATATAACAATGGAAATAATTGAAACATATTAAAGATGTGCAGATTGATTCGTTCAGATGCATAAAGAATAACAACAGGCAATAGGTCACTTTTGGATGATGCATGTGAACCAATTCATTATTTGGAAAACTGGTCAACAAGGAGAAAGAACCAAGCATCAATCCTGTCTTCTCTATAGGAAAATGTACCTCCAAGTAACCAGATAGTAGGTGAGGGAGGTTTTTTGTTTTTGTTTTGATTGAAGTATTCCAGATAATAAATGTGGAAGGAATGATAGCACTGAAGCCTACAGCTACTAATATCATGACGGATAGATAAGTAGACATTCTGTTTCTCAACACCCATGAAGTAGTCTTGCAAAACCCACTGGAACCTGTATCTAAAAAACCTGAGTCTGATAAACTCTCTAAATCCAACTAGCCCTTTATAAAAATAGAGACAAAGGAACATGTTTAACTACACTGCGGCAATGTAGTCAGCAGAAATTTAGAAGGAACTACTAGAAAGCAAGAGAATGCTTATGGTTAAGACATAAAACAAGGTCAATCTAAAAATTTGTATTGCATGAAAATTTTAAACTAAATTTCTAAAAATACATTTTTGAAATGAAACAATGGCTTAATCAATGAGAAAACACTTCTTATTTAGTAAAAATGAACTCTTTGTTGTTTACCAAACAACGGCTTTCTAATTCTGTGCAGTACTTTACAATTTAGGGTGGTTGTTTTAAACAGGTAAGACAAGACTTTTACTAGTTTGTGGATGGGTCTGCCCATCACAAATTGACTGGTTGGTGCACATGAGAATTATCTATAGAGTCTGGGAAGCTGGGGGTGTATCTGGTGTATTCAGAGACTGATGAGGTAGTTTCCAGGACCGTGTCCAGATTCAGTTTCACAGGGTTAGATGACTCCCTGACAAAATTTTCAGTATTCTTTGGATTTACTCTTGAGTGCTGCTTCCACCTAGTGGAGGCAAACAAATCATGAGAAATGCCTGATTTCTTTTATGAATGAGAGCTAAATATGGCATCTGGATGTTAAAAAAAACAAAACAAAACTGTAGTGTTTGGCCATGAATTGGTAACTATGAAGATAAATGTTTTATAATAGGTGCTATTATATTCTCTCTTTTGATATGTGTTACATTTTTCATGATAAAATGTTAAAAAAAAACAAGAAAAGAATTTTCTATTAATCAAGAATTACACTAAATGTGGCAGCTAATAAACCTCAATGTTAGGTTTTTATTCTGTTTTTAAGTCACAAGTGTTTTCTGTACCAGGCTTGCTCCTTCAGGTTCCTTCCATACAAGCCATATTTTGCAGCTGTGTATCTTAGAATGGCCCTGGATTCTACCAAATTCATTCCATCCATTTCCACCATGGGCACTCGTTCATACATCAGGGTTCCACCTTGAAAAACACAAAAGAAAGCTGGATTATTTATTGTTCTTGATAGTGGCAACTGAGTTTTCTAAAGATGATACAAAATGGAACTATTATAATCAAATAATATTTATCAAAATATTTTTAGAGACTAAGTAAAAGGAGAAATTTTTATGCATTCACTTATACAAAAAAAAAGTGTGGAGGGCCAGACACAGTATTGAATATCTTGGAAGACACTGAAAAAAATATATAAATATATATTATATTAATATTATATATATTATAAATAAATACATGTATGTGTATACACACACACCACCTTTCTTGCCAAAGATTCCTCTTTCTAATTCCTTTGTCTCTTTTTTAATATTCCTTTTTAGTTATACATGGACACAATTCTTTATTTTGTTTATTTATTTTTATGTGGTGCTGAGGATTGAACCCAGAGCCTCGCACGTGCTAGGCGAGCACTCTGCCCCTAAGCCACGACCCCAGTCCTCCGTTGTCTCCTTTCCTATGGCCACTCCACTCTTTTTACCTTTGAGCTATCTTGATCATACCCTGAGTGTTAACTCAGGCTCCAGATGGGCCATTCTTGTCTATCCCACCTTCTCTGCCTGGTTGTTTTCATGAAGTCATGAGACTATTGAACATATTTCCATCAATCCCTATTAATTATCAGTGAGTAAGCAGAACTAAAAAAAAAAAAAAAATTAACCCCTGTATTATTCTCTGTAATAAAACCAACTAACAAACTAATCATAACTAGGGAGGGCCATGTTTTGATTAAGAAGAATTCTCTCTCTCTTCCTCAACTCTGTGTGTCCATCTGTCTGCATCTCTTCCTCAGATGGGCAACAGTAAGGCTGGCTCTGCACTTCCACCATCAAACATCTGGAGCTGGGCCAGTTCTCCTTTCCATTATCTGAGGGTCTAACTGGGAAACTGAGCCACACCAGTTACTTTTGTAGAGAGAGTTTAATATAAAGAAGTTAACTACATCCTGGAAAACTGAAAAGAAACAAAGGAGCAGTGCAGTATCGTGAAGTAGGAAACCGCAAAAAAGAAGACAAAGTTCAGGGGAAAGAAAAGGAGAGAGCTGGAACAATTAGACTTAGAAGCGTGGAGGCAGGGCTCCTGCTGGTTGCAAGACTCAGGTACTTCCTTCCTTATATAGAAATAAGATATTGATAGTTACTGTCAATACATTTTTTACTTCTCTTATTCAGAGTATTAAACAGAGGGGTGGGGATGGGGGCGGGGAGAGTGATCATAGTAATGGAGACACCATCTCATCTCTTTGATCTAATGTAACATCAAAAGTAATAAGATTTTCATCTCACCTTGGATTAACTTTTCAAATTCTTCACGTGTTTCAAAGAATTTTTCTTCAAACTAAGGAACAAACAAAAAGAATGTAAGAATACATCGTTATTAGCGTTTTTATTATCATTGCTCTTGATACCATGGAAAAAAGTTACATGGAAGTCAAAGGATTAGGTATGAAGTGACCCCCAAAACTCATGTGTTGAAGCCCTTTCACCAGTGAACAATGTTCAGAGGTGGGGCTTTTGAGAAGTGATAGGATCACAAGGGCTCTGACCTCATCAGTAGATTAATCCATTTGATATTTGATAGCTGATATTTGATGATAGAATGGATTACTAGGAGGGGGAACCTAGTTGGAGGAAGTAGATCACTGTGGGCTTTCTCTGAAAGGGTAGGTAGAGTATTTCTTGTTCCCTGCACGTGCATCTCTTTTTCTCTCTCTCTTTCCTTTTCTGCTTTCCAGATGCCATGAGCTGAGTAGTTTCCCCCTGCCATGTCCTTCTGCCATGATGTTTCTGCCTTGGATTCAACTGACCATAGACTGAAACTTCTGAAACCTTGAGCCAAAATAAATCTTTCCACTTTTATGTTGTTTATGTCAGGTATTTTGATCACAGTGATCACAGTGATGAAAAGCTAACAAACACAATGCCTAATTACTGACTAAAATAATGTTTTAAGTATACCAAATATGTAGTTCCTTTGTGTCACTCCTGAATCCTTTAACAATATGAAACTGAAGTGTCAGATCACCTCATTTCTACACCTCAAAGACCAGCATTAACTTTAACTCTAATCCAAGAGCAGGAAACACAGCAGTCTCCAGGGAATTCTGCTATTTTTATAAGACAACAAAGACTGTAATCCCAGTGGATCAGAAAGCTGAGGCAGGAGGATCTCAAGTTCAAAGCAAGCCTCAGCAACTTAGTCCCTGTCTCAAAATAAAAAAAAATCGAAAGGACTGAAGATGTGATTCTGTGGTTAGTGCCCCTGGGCTCAATCTCTGGTGCCAAAAAAAAAAAAAGATGTAAGAGTCCTTATTCATTTAAAATATTATCAATATTATTGTATAAATTATAGAACTCTTCATAGAAAAATCAGAAAATATAGATAAGCTAAAAAATTGTAAGTCATACTCATTGGGCTGTCCTCTAGGAATGAGAAGGTATTCAGTAGACATGTTCTTTTCCTATGGCTAAGTCAGCACAAATATGGCATTCAAAAGGTGGAAGTTGGACACTTGCTACACATTTAAAAGAATCTTTGTGCAGGGATAGAGTGTGTAATATGTATGTGTGGGGGGTCTCTTTTCTCTTAGTCCTTTGATTTTACGAAATAAATTTTCTTCTGATTGATGATCCCCAGTACTATGTATTAAGTACTATCTTACCATCACCTTCTATTCTTGGTTCAGATAGTTGGTGGTGTTCTCTCTTTTATATTTTCATTAGTAAAAAGAACCATGCATCAAAAGCCAAAAGAAACACACAAAAACGAAACAAAACAAAACAAACACAAAAACAAGCTCTGCCGACAGCTAGCATAATATTGGAGCTCTTCTTCTCCAAGTTTTCATTTGATGCTTAGGAAGCCCAGAGAGGCCAAGTGACTTGCCTGAAGTCCCTTGGCTAAAGGATAGAAGAACCAGCGCTGGGTTCCCTTCATTCCAAGGGAAAAGCTTTCCACTACATTTCAGATATTATTAGCTTGGTAACTGAGTAGTCTTTATTTAAATAATCATTTCAATTTGAAGCCATATTCTGCACTTGATACCAAGTATGGGAGTACAGAGAAGGACAATCAGGGTATAAAGCAAAGCTTTCTTTCTTCCTTTTATTTTTATTTTTATTTATTTATTTTTGTGGTGGTTGGGGGGGTGTTACTGAGAATTGAACCCAGGGGTGCCTTACCCCTGTGCTACATTCCCATCCCTTTTTAATTTTTATTTTGAGTTTTTCCTCCTGAACTTTTTTTTTTTTTTTAATGATTTTGTGCTTTGCATAAAGGCTGAGTGAGAGTCTGTGTTGGGCACTGTGGGGTTTCCAAAGATAAGCGAAGCATAGCTATTTTAGCAAACTGGTATATACAAGAGCATACTTAAGCTTTTGAAAATTCACTGTGACTCATAATGACAAGGAAAAGTTGGGAAAAGAAGATGGATACTGACTGTAGAATTGCCTTCTAATTCTGACAAGTTATGATGGTATCAACATGAATCTAAAACTCTGGGAGGAATCAGAAGGCCCAAGATAGAGATTCATGAGGCTCAGAAAGAAAGACTGACCTATTACTGTTTTGTAAAAATTAGGCCTTTAGAAGGAAAAATGAGAAGTTTAAGTTTTTTTTTTTTAAAAACTATACTAAAAAATATTTAGTAACCTCCAAAGAAGTTGGAATGTTTTTGATAGGTAACTCTTGTCTCCTGTGCATGTTTTATGATGCCATATTCTTTCTTCTTGAATGTTAAAAGTATTTACTGACCATATCCTTTGTTCTTATAAATACCATAGTATTATAAAGCAACAATACGAAAAATTGAGATAAAAAAAGATATAAAAGAATGACCTTGTGTCTCTCTCTTTCATCTTCAACATCTATCATCTGTCATTTATCCAGCTGAGTTTAAAGAGAAAAATAAAGAATGATACACAGAAGGAACCATGTAAGTAAATTTTTTTCCCAAAAGTGCACAAGTCAAATTTTGGCAAATACAGATAAAAATGCAAAAATATACAAGCTAGACTTGCTAGATACAGGTTATTCAAGCAGACCGGAAGATGATGGTCCAACTGAATTTTAGCTTTATATGTTAATGTTTTATTTTTTAACAGAAGACTATCTGACTATATTGAGTGAATTAGGACTAAATTTTAACAATTGTTCATCCCAGGTAGCAGGGTCATGTTCATTTACAATATTCTTTGTACTATGCTTAATCTTCTAACTTGATTTAAAATTAAAAAAAAAAATCCAGATACGACTTTTAGAAAAAAATGAAACTTCTACATATGTTTTGTTGTTGTTGTTGCTTTATTCAAGCACTACTGGGAGAAATAATGTGGTACATTTCACAAAATATTCCAATTTAAACCATGTTCTGAGATGCATTCATAAAAGGTATTTTCATTTCTGGAGAACAGATGAACGTGAGACCTCTGTTAGATCTCAGACAGCATACAAAATATCCTAGTGAATGTCAAGTCACCCGTATTGCTTGCTAATTTTTCACTAAGTCCCCATGGTACAGACCATAAGTTCAAAGAAAACTTGTTCCTTTATCTAAGAGACCATTTAAGAGTAACTGAAAAATACTTTTTGTATGGATTCCAGAAAAGGCCAATTGCTTTATATTCAGAATGTGCATAGAGGCACAAAGATTTATTTGGAAAGCTCTTTATAAACTTTAATAAACTACTTTTAAAATGTATTGAGAAATTTTTAATAATTAAAAAAATCATTAACGTGTAGGACAGCTATAATATTAGTGGTAAACGATAATGTTATGTCAGTACTGTTCTGGGCTTTTAAAGAAAAGTACTATTATCTTAATAGTCTTGATTCAAGTGTAGTTAAATGAATGCCATACTTGGCTGGTAAGAATGGAATCAGAAGCTATGAAGCAAAATGAGCCTCTTCCTTTCTTTCCTCTGTGCCTCCCTCCTTCATTTCCTTCCTCCCACACCCTTCCTTCTTCTTTTTTTGTTGATTATTATAGAACACTGTAATATCTTGGATATGTTTAGTATTAACAATTACTACAGTATTTAGGCACTTAATTAAAAGGACTAATTAATTCTTTCACAGCCAACATTTAAAGAGCATGTGGTAATAACTGCTTTTTGTTTTCTAGCTGGTGCAGTAGAGTAGGCCTGTAATCCCAGCAACTCAGGAGGCTGAAGCAGGTGAATTGAAAGTTTGAGGCCAGCCTCAGCAATTAGCGAGGGCCCAAGTAACTTAGTGAGACCCTGTCTCAAAATAAAAAGAGTTGGGGATGTAACTCAGTGGTGAAGCACTTCTGAGTTCAATCCCCAGTACAAAAATTTTAAAAAGTAGTTTTCTATAACTTTCCCAAAGTAAGTGCTTAATGATCTGCAGACAAAAACAATAGCAGTCAACCCAGCCACCTTACCTCCACTCCTGCTGCAGCCAAAAGCCATCGGATGGACTCCATTCTGCCCCTGCCATTGAAGTAGTGAAGCACAGGCTTCCCCACCATGACTAAGAATCCCTGAAAATCAAGAGGGAACAACTGAGATTTGTACACAAAGAGAAAGAGAAACTTATAGAGCATCACAAAATTCATCAGAAAGATAAAGGCTTGCAACTTATGCCCCAGAAAACCCAAGCGGCATCTTAGTTCCAAGGCTGCCTGTAATCTAGGTTCCTTCCTCATGAGTGGAGCTTGTCTTCTGAAACTGGTGTTCTAGATTTTTAAAAATTAATTTAATAACTGACTTAAAAAATAGAAAGACGATAAGTGTAAGCAAGTCAGATAGAAGGAAGGAATTCAGGACTAAGGCTAACCTGTTTTTCTTCTTGTGCAGGTGACAAGATTTTAGCATTTTAATCTTTCCTCTCTCTCTTTTTTGTACAGCTCCTCCTCCCTCCCCCTGTCAGGACAAGCCTAGGCTGGAGAAACTGAGTGAGAATGGAGAACTGAGGAGGAAGCTAGCATTTTTTTTTTTAATTTTTTATTGTTGGTTGTTCAAAACATTACATAGTTCTTGATATATCATATTTCACACTTTGATTCAAGTGGGTTATGAACTCCCATTTTTACCCCGTATACAGATTGCAGAATTTCCAAAGTCATCTTGACATATTAGTCACAGCACACTCTGGAGCTAAGAGCAGCACACAAGAGGGTTTTTGATAATTGGGATTTTAAGCAAAAGTGCAGTTAGGCAAAGGGTGACATTTCCCACCTTCACATTTTTCCCCTTTGGAAAAAAAAATATTTTTAAGAAATAACAACTCATACTCATCTTGAAGAAATTGAAATAATGCAGAAGTATAGAAATTAAATGCCCATCCCCACCATCCCAAGAAAGCCTATGTGGCTTGAGGGATGTGAGAGTTTGGCATGATGGGGTGAGAGGTTCTGAACATTCAAAGATTGCAAGGGGGAGCTGTGGGGAGGAGGATCGTGGCTTTAGGAATGGGAGGGTCTTCGTGGTATAAGGGGGAGCTGAATTATTTTGCAGCATGTCAATTGGCTCACTTTCAAAACTGGCCCCTCTACACATGAAGAACTCAGCAAAATAAACGAGGAAAGGATAGATTGTGGAAATAACTATCTTGAAACTCAGAATGAAAAAAGTTGATCTACCAAATTACACCGCTGTATTGTGTGCATGTGCGAAAATGCAACAACAAATCCCACCATTATGGACAACTATAGTGCACCAATAAAAATATGGAAAAATAAAATTCTATTTTCTATTTATTAAAAAGAAAGTTGGTCTAGGCCAGTGGATTTTCGATCCTACCTGCTACCCATTAGAATCATCTGAGCGGCTTAAAAAAAATGCCACAATTCCCTTCTCTAATCTTGCTGGTTTAAAATTTGAGTCTCCTCTTCCTTAAAGAGAAGGTTCTTCATAATGAGAGGTTTGGGGGAACTTCTGTCTCCTCTGTATAGTTGATGGTGTAAGTGGTAAAGAGATGGCTGACAGTGTCCAAACCTTTTCCCTGGACCCTGGCGGGGGAATCAAAGGCTCCATGTATCATGTCTAAGCTAGATGCTTGAATTCTGTAAAAGAGAGGGGAGCAATGTTGAAGGAGGGCGAGCAGTGTTCTGGGGCAGTGAATAGAGTGGAAACGGAGTGAGCCATGATGATTAGTAGAATTTCCCTGTGCTGTTCTCTGGTTTGGTCTCCTTTTGTTTCTTCAAGTGATTTTCTCTGTGCTTGTCAGTAGCAGCCTGAATTAGGAGTCATTTCCCAGTGCTCTTTGGGTGTTGCCGTGTTCATGCTTGGAAAAGTCATGAACGCCATTTGGTTTCAAGACAGAGCTGACCTAGCATTTGTGCTATCAGGGAAGACGCCTCACCAGTCCCATGTGTCAGCAAAATAATTGCTGACATGCTCTTCAACCCTTTGCTGCAGGCTCTTTTCCTTATCCAGAAAATGATTGTGAGTTTCTTTCCATCTATCATGTTGGTTAACTGGTGAGTTTGCTGCATAAATCCCTTTTCTGCTCACTGTACTCCTTTGAACACTGTTGGTTCAATAAAGGAATTTAAATGCACCAGTGATTTTCAACATAAAGGAATTGGCCTTTCTGCTTTGCAACCGAATTGCCCTTGGCTTTCTCAGCAATGCAGTCCTCACATATTACCGGTGGCTCCTCTTCTCTAGCCTCTTCCCTTCATTCACCATCAGTGTCAATTGAGCAAAGACCCCTAAAAAAGCAAACTTTTGCAGTTGCACCTCTTCTCCTTGGTGATCTTCTTAAGCAAAAGATTCTTCCACAAGACAATTCACCTCCATCTTCCCTGAGGAGTTCAACTTCTCTGCAGAGAAGTCCCCTTCACCTCATCCATCTCCTGTACAACTTAAGGCCATGCAAGTCCCTGAGCCACCTGCCCTGCAAAGGGGATGATGGATTGGAAGGAAGCAGTGGCAACTCTTTTCTCCAACCTCTCCCGGCTAGGGAAGACAGGATTCATTCTGCCAAGGGTCCTCTTCATATTCCCTTTCCTTTGAGGAACTGAAAATTTTGTTTCTGGTACACATAAGGCAGAACCTTCCTCACACCAATATGTGAATTTTTAACATAACCGTTAGTCTGAAAATTTTTTTCTGCAGTTATTTTCTAACATTGGTCAGCCCCTGTGCCTGGACTGGTTTCTCCCTGGGCCATTCACCTTCCCACCTCTGCTTCCTGCCCTCCAGCATCTTTGAATGAATGGATATTATGATTCTCTCTGTCATATCTTGTGGGTTTGTTATTTTTGTTGTTTTTCTGTGAAGCACATACATTGGAAGTGGGAAGTGAAGAGTATTTCAGGTGCTCCTAGTCACACACCATTTATGGTCATGTCTTGTTTCTTGTAACTCTGGTTAGATTTTGGTCTCAATGGCTCTTCTGCAAAGAGAGGAAAAGGTAGGAAGGAAGAAAGGAAGGAAGGAAGGAAGATAGGTAGATAGATACTGGCTACTCTGCAAAGCCATTTTTGCATTGTTCAGCTTCCCCATTGCTGCAACCTCCTCTGCCACCACAGACTCTGGTAGCTTTATGGCCAGAGTCTCTGAACTCTAGTTTTCTTTTTAATATGCTGCATGGGATCACCAATGTGTCCCACTATGTCAGATGTGGTGGACACCAGCTCCAAAACCACCATAAAGGACTTAAAGGAGAAGGAAGTTGTGGAGGAAGCAGAGAATGGAAGAGATGTCCCCCCGCCCCGAATGGAAATGCCAATTAGGAAAATGGAGAGCAGACAGTGAGGTGAAAGAAGAGGAGGAAGAGGGTGGTGAAGAAGAGGAGGAGGAGGAGGGTGATAAAGATGAGGAGGCCGAGGCTGCTACAGGCAAACAGGCAGCTGAAGATGATGATGTTGATACCAAGAAGCAGAAGACCATGAGGATGGCTAGATAGTGGGGGAATGAAGCAGGAAGGTAGACCTCCCACAAGCAGAAAGGATAATGGCCTCGGAGAAGGGAAAGAGGGAATGAGACCATGCCATCCTAAAAGGAGACATCAGGCCTGGAGAATAAGCTGTCACTGCTGCTGACTAATTGTCACCTAAGGCTCTTCCTTTGCTAACCCTACCCCTACGCCTAGCAACAGACCACCAATCTACCCTTGCCTGAATCACTCCTTCTCCCAGTTTGGACCATCCTCTTAAGTATGCACTTCTGATTGGCTTATTAAGGTGGGAGCTTGAAGAGTTTTGTTGGTCCTTGCTAGCATTCCTCACCCCGCCAATCACCTGTGCTGGCCCATCAGATATGCCTTTAAAAACCCCTAGACAACCGACACCTGTTGGCATCCCTCTCAGGACCCATCCCTCTTCAGGATCTCTGCATTCTTTCTATTCCTCTAATAAATCATGTTACTTCGCTTTCACTCTTGTGTCCAAGGATTTCATTCTTTGAATTCCTGAGACAAAGAACCCACCCATCCATGCTCTGTGCTAAAACAGAAAAAAAAAAAAAAAAGACCACCATGCCTCTTCACCCTCCACTTTGGGTCTCAGAATGAAATGTACTCACCTTGGAGTACAGAGGCCCACCTGTCCCCCGGGGGTAGTGCTACCCACAGAAAACACGTGATCTCTACTGCCCCACTAAAACCACGGCGTGAATTTGCAACAGGGGAGAAAAAAAACAACAAAAAAGCTAAGACTTCCAAGGTCCTGCTTTTTTTCCTCAAAAGTACTTTAAAAAAGGATATGTTCATATTTTTATTTACATTTTATATTTTTGTACATATTGTTAGGGGTCAGCCAGTTTTAATGATCTCAGATGACCAAACCAGCCTTCAGAATATTCTCTGTCCTACTTCTATTTTTAGTTGTGACATGACCATGTTCATTATAATCTAGAAAGAGAGAGAGAGAGAGAGAGAGAGAGAGAGAGAGAGAGAACCCTTGTAACAAAAAGCAAAAACAACAATAGCAAACAAAGAAAACCTTACTGCAAGCATTCCAGGAATTTTTTTGTTTATGCATTTTAGCTGCACTGTAACTAGTTGGTTTGTATGAGATCATTAAAAAGGTAAAAGGTTTCTTTCTCTTTTTTTGGCCTATGGAGTTGCTTTTTGTTTTATTTTATTTTATTTTTGGCTTCTTTGATGTATGTGGGAAGCAAAGTTGTCAACAATAAACTGAAATTTTATTTTGCTATATTTGTTCTTATAAAAAGAAAGAGGGGTGGGGTGGGGAGGAGACCCCAAAAAGACAAGACAGAAAGAAAGACCTTCACAGCCAGCTCAGGTTTTGAGAAATAGTTTTCTTTCTACCCCTTGAAGACAAAATAGGTTTTTCCACTGGTACATATAAAGCTCCCAGCTCTGGGAGGTACTAACTCTGGACAAATGTCACTGCAACCCAATGCGCAGAGAACCTCACCTTTTTAACTCTAGAGGGTGGGAATTTACTGTTGGCTGTTGCTGGGTCTGACTGGTATTTCAAAAGCATATTGGGTGCTGCAAAGAGGAACTGGAGGGGTGAACTTATTAACTCCATTAAACCTGTGATTGGTGATGTTTTCCTGTCATTTTAGGAGACTAAATACGGATTGGGAGCAGATGTCAAGACACTTGTATGATTTTAAAATTTCACAAATGCAAGTTGACTTCCCACAAACAAAACATATGCCACAGTTTCTTCATCTGTAAAATGGGAATGGTAGCACCAATCTTGTAATTATTGACATTTTTGAATGCAATAAAACATGTAATGTGTTTAGCCCTCAGTGGATGATGAGCAATGGTAAATGGTTCATATCTATGGATGGAGGGAAGGGAAGGAGATGGGGGGTGGAGAGAGAG